CTTTAGCAACTATTATGCCCAGCACCCAGTTGGATGCTTTGGATGTTTATGACACAACTGATGTGCTCAAGGTTATTATAACAGTCAGTGAAACAGCTTACATTTCTACAGTGTTTTAAGATTTACAAAGTACTTTCCATAGAACACTGAAGTAGGGAAGTGGGAGTGCAAGATCATCACCCACATTTATACACATGGCAATGAAAGCCTACAGAGAGGCTCCGTAATCTGTCCGTGACCATGGTGTCAAGGAGGGGAAGGAGGACAATAAGAAATGGGAAATGACCTCAGCTTTCCTGACCACAAGGTGGCCAGCAATCTTTCCCATTGTCATACTGCCTGTCTGAAAAAGTAAGAATCACAGACCTAGAATAGTGACAAAACAATCTGAGGCAAAGTACAATTAAGCATATGCAAATATGATCTATGAAAAATAAGTGTGCTGTATGTATTCCAGACATTCTACTAATAATATGTCCACCAATAATAATATTATTAGCTGACATTTGGATAGCTTTAAGGTTTATATACATTGTTTCATTTGATCCTCACAAGTCATAATAGCAGATCTAACAGATGAGGAAATAGAAATAAAATAAACGCCTAGGATCATTCAGCTAACAGGCAGCAGAGCGAGAATTTGAATCCAGGTCTTCTGACTCAATATTCAGTGCTTTTGCACAACATAAGAGCTGTAAAAAAATCTGCCGAACTATCCTCAGTTTTTGATGAGTAAAACAAAAACTACTCACAAAACAGATGACTTAAAACTAACATTTGCTAGACTTGTATAGAGCCCTAGTCAAATCATCACAGATTATCACCTGTGCCAATAATGCTACCTATAGAAAGACCAAAAAAAAAAAAAGATTTGAGGAAAATTTGTTCTGTTCCTCTTATAATGATCCATTCAAAGGATAAAAAGAGGCTATTAGAAACCATCAATTTTCCATAAAACATATATAAAGACATTCCCTCCGTCTTCTCACAAAAGAATTTCTTGTATAATCTAAAAGGATATCCTTTCCTATAAGGATAAGGAACAAAAAGTTGACTTCATCAACATACAAAACCACCACAAATCATTTTAGTACATAAAATATGACTAAATTATTAATCTACTCATTAAACCTAAACTGCAAGATTTCTGCACTACTGATGAAAAGAAATTCTCAATCTAAGAAGTCCCAGTTTCATAATTTTGCAAGCATTAGTGATTAAAGGTTCTCTCTTTGCAACTAATAAAAATTTAAAATAAAAAGTATAGCAAAATTTGAGTAGTTAAAAAACCGTTTTGGGTAGAGAAAAGAGGACCACAAGCCTTGAAATGTCCTCTATTCATTTCACCTCTGTCTTTCCAATGTAACCATAAACTTCAAAATAATTATTTTATATCTCCTATATGAAAGGTCCCCAAACTTTTTTGCAGAGACAGGTTACCATTTAGTTTTTCAAAGCCTCAAATTTGCTGATATAGGTGCTAAAGATTAAGCCCCTTAGGTAGGAGCACCTGCTCATGGCTCTTCTCTCCAAGGTCAACCAAGCCAAACAGGAGTGATAAATTAGCAAACTTCTACCCTAGAGCATTGAGCATCACTGATAAAGTGGTTAGGGAATTATTAAAATCTTGGTGAAATGGAATGAAAGACTAAGATAAGAGATGTAGGCCTGGTGATTTATATGGTACACTCATGCAAGTAGAAACTTGGGCAAATAAATCTGCAATTGCCAAAAGACATTCAAAATAGAATAAGCCAATATTAACAAATGCAATCTAAGCAAAACCCAAAAGATGATTTGGTTTAGCATAAACTCAGATCTTGGAACCAGAAGGGACTTCAAGGAATCATCTGCAACTATTTCCAGCCACTTAATATATTATTCTCTGTTGTACAGAGAAATTAACAAAACTGCTGCTCCTTATCATAATACAGGTTTCCCCACACTGGCAGCTCTGTATGATTCTGCTGAGCGTATTGAGTATTGGACTTCTGGCCATAAAAACTGGATCCAAGTCCAAGAACTACTGTGCTACCACAGACAAGAGCTGTAAAACAGGAATAATAATTCTTATACCAGCTACCTCACAGGCTGCTGAAAGTGTTGTGAAAACCTTAAAGGACTATCGATATATGAGTGTGCTCTTATCATAATGATCATCCTCAGGATGTTTTCAGGTACCCAAAAGCTTTTCCCAAACCCTCAGAAAACATGAGGTCCCTTATCCCTCTTTGCAGTAAGCTAGTATATAAACTTATTTTAATATGGAAAGCATTAGTATAATAATAAAACCTACATAAGAATAAATCTACTACTGAAAGTATCACCACATTCCAAAGCCAAATATGAATGATTTGAGACACTGCACATCACTAAATCCCCTTGCAGGAGAGCTGCTCACATTTAGAAACCGTGTTTCTTGGGACAGGCTTGTTTTAAGCTGAACTAGAACATTCAAAGAACAGCACAGTAGTTCAAGAAAGAAAAGCATCCCAGCAATTCTTTTTTGTTCTCAGAAACATTTTAACTATTCATCCCTAAAATGTAAACTACCACTCAGGCTCACTGAATTGCCACTTTGATGCAAGAGCAAGCTGATAGACCTTAAAAAGTAAAAGACACGAAATACCTAATCAAAACGAAGAAGAAAATGAAGATGGTATATTCAGCAAAAGCACTACCTTAAAAACAAAATGTCATTTGTGGCTTACATGCTGTCAGTTTCAAATCATTAGAGGGTTAAAAAAAAAACAACCTTTAAAAAATAACACTAACACCCCACCTGACACTATGAAATGATTATTATACAAAGGTAGGAAAGCAAAGAGGACCAATACAGAATTCATCTAGAAAGTTAGAAGCATAACTTTCATATGCATCAAAAGGATTAACCTTGTGCTCATTCTGATTGTCTTACTGGTTCCGGTCTCTTACTTCTTTTAAATACTGTACCAGGACAACACATCATCGTCCACAAAATGCTAAATCAATAAAATACTCTTTAGTTAATCAATCCAAAACACAAAGATGACTCCTCTCTTCCTGAAATTTTTCAAGAAAGGAACTAAGTAAATGCCTTTGATAATCTATGTTTTGTTTTAATCATCCTTCTCTTCAAAATGAGGTAGAAAAATAAGGAAGACTCTGGAAAGTCTAAAACAATGAGTAACAAAATATACCTAATATAAAAGCAAATATTCAAAAAGATCTTAAGTCATAAAAAGAATGCAACATAAAACCACTAAAGTTGTATAAAACACAAAAGGAGCACTACAAAATTCAAGAAAATTAGCTGAACATTTAAACTTAAGATTAGAAGTATAATCTAGGAGTTAAGTAAACTTTGCTGTTCAAAAGCAGTTGCTTCCTCACTAAATTGAGGTAGCTACCTTTTAATAAGCGGGAAGTGAAAAACAGGGTCAGAAACAAATCAAGTACAAAAGAAATTACAATGAAAAGACAATAGTACAAGTATATTAATACTTCAATACTGTTCATGGATTATAATTCTCTGGAAGAATTATTATTTTTCTGTCCTTAAGTCCTTGAGGCTATTATTCTTAATCAACAGGTTTATCAACACAATGAAGGTAAATATATCCACAGTATTCTATGACATGGAAAAATTCTTGTCTATATTAGGGAAATACATCTGGGAGAAAATAGTTTCAGAAGTCACTGTAAAAACTCCACAACTTGTTGTCAAATATATCTTAGTAAAAAGCAGCATAGGTTTAATTTCCCAGACTCACTGAACCTTTGAGCTGGATAGGGACTCAGAAGCTATGCAGTTCAACTGGCATTTGACACATAAATTCTCTCAAACAATTCTGTCAAGTACTGTCCAGCTTCTGAGTTCAGTAACAGGAAGCTCATTTAACTACCTAGGAACTTCATCCCATTTTTCGACATCTACAATTGCTGGGAAGAACTTCCTAATACAGAGCTAAAACATGGCTCTTGGCAACTACTACTACTTATCATAACATCAAATGATATTAATAAATGATACGATGAATAAATTACAAAATATGTTAAAAATTATGACCACTTAGTCTAACAATAAATCCCCTTTACAAAAGTAGCAATGATTCATAAAGCATCTTTCTCATTCTAATCCTGTGAGGTCAGTGGTGCAATTGCTCCCATGTAACAGGTAAGAGCAGTTAAATCACTTGCCCAAAGTCATACAATCAGTAAGCAGCTGACTCAGGACTTGAACTGAGATTTTCTGACTCTGAGTCCATTGCTCCTTTCACTACACCACACTGCCTCTCCATTAGAACAATGGCTAGGTTTGCAAATGAAAAACACTGCCCCAGAAGAGAGATTTTTCTAATTAATATATGGGTCTAGGCTAATCACAGAAGAAAAATTACAACAAATGAGGAGTTGCTGTGAGTGCTGTTCCTGCTCATATACATGAGGTCTTGAGAAATCTCTTGTATATTCCTTTTGAAAAACATGTCTTTTCACTCACTATAAAAGTAAAATTCTTTAGTAGGAAAGAGTAGCAACTATATAAAAAATTTCTGACAGATAAATTATTGCCCCCTCCACAAAATCACTATTTTTATTTGGGAGGAATCTGACTAGCCATCATCTCATTTTAACAACAAAAAACATTCAGAGAACTTAACAATGATACTCAACTTTCCTGCCAATCTCAAATTAGTGGAAAATACTCTAAAAATGGATCTAATTTTAATCCAATATTTCCGCACTAAAAAGGGTTGGCTAAACAATTATATGGGCCTTCACACAGTCACTGGCATTTGAGTGCAGATATAATACCTCTACTTTTGGTAGAAATGTTCAATTTTACAGCTCAGGATCAGCACTATAAATCACTACAGCTCAAGTGATTTTATAAGAAACTTTAAAATAAGAAAGCTACAAGAAGGAATGTTCTACTCGAATAAAACAAAATGTGTCAGTTTCAATATGGGAAATAGTATAAAGAGAATTTATTTTTATCCCAGAATGCTAAAAAAAATTACCTATTTTAATGAATCGACATGGGAACATCTGTTCATCAATTTTATGCTTCAAGGTGAATGTTTCTTTGTTATAATCATTCTTTAAGCCACTGTGAGAAAAAATAAATAAGGTTACCAAATCTGACTTCATTGCTCAACACTACTAAACACGATAAAGGAAAAAGTATTATGATGCTAGATTTACTATATTAATTTTTAATAAGTGCTAGTGGCAGTGTGGAACTACTTGTTAAAGCATGGGACTATAACTCAAGACTCCCAATTCTATACCCAGCTTTGTTACTGACCCAGTATGACAATGGGCAAACAACTTCACATCTCTATGCCTCCTTTTCCCCCATTTAATAATATGAGTGAAACCTATGTGAACCCACTCAGCCAAGTGTATGATGATTTTTTAAAATATTTTTTAATTTCTCAGGTTTCTATGATACATTATCATAATTTCTAATTGGGCTGTGACTATGGCAAAATTCAATTTAGTATCATATGAAACAAAGCAACTACTGCTGACAAATGGATAAATTAGTTTGAAATCCCATCAGTTTATTGTGAGCTTAAGAATGCAAATTTAACATTCAAATAAATATGTGTACCTTAGGTTCAACTGCCTTTATGTATGCAGCCTGATCTCTTGAAAATCATATTTCACAATCTTAAAAAATATATGACACACAGGAAGATACTGTCAGTTACTAAGGAAAAAGTGGTAAATGTATTATATTAATCTGATAAAAAAAAGTATTCTATAACACAGCTTAATATTATTTCACAAAAAAATAAATTATTTAAGCCTAATTATTCATTGCTTCTTTCACAGTCTGACTCATTTTTAAAGAAGATCTATTACCCCTTGGTTGCAGTCATTCCAATAATATCCATTCTTTCTTCCTAAGTCCAAATAATTACTCATACAACTGACTTGTCATCTTAACACAATTGATGTTAAAATAGTTAACAATGGGGATATCACACAAATTTCTCCTCACATTAGAATGGAATATTTTATTTATATTAAATAGAAGAGTAGTGTCAAGGCTCAAGGGTGGCTTTTAATTTCCACAATCATTTACGTAAAATCAAATGGCTGCTAATTGTCACTAATTCATTGGGGTCATGGAAGAGAATGAGGAAAAAGAAATCTAAATCCATCCATCTTAATTCTTGTTCCTGTCCATTAGCCCAAATTCATATGACTTCCCTCATACTAACATTAGATTGAAAATAGTTACTCTTCCTGGAATGTACCATATCATTACTATGATAAAGTCTGCTTTATTTAGTAACGACTACTTGAAATTAATAGAGAACTACTAAAATTATTAACTTTTTCCCTTTTATAATAGAAAGGAAAAAGAACAAAATCAGAAAAAGAAAAAATAACTCTTCAGTCATGGTATATATATCATCTAAATTTATTTTTAAAAAGATTAATTTTAAGCTACTATGAAGTAACATTCTGTATCAATTTGAGGGGAAAAAATCAATCATGAGCAATCATAGCTATTAAAAAAAAGTGCTGTCAATTGCATTGTTTATAAGTCAGCTGTTTACTTCCCCAAATTACAACTCACCTGGATAATAACTCTGTCATATTTTCTTCGTTCATTCCACCAAAGACTTTAAACTTCTTTAAATTACAGACATGCGTCTTCTCATATTTTCCAAATGTGATACTCTGGACTATAGCAGGCCTTTCAAGCTTGAGAATCAGGTACTAAACATAAGAAACAAGAAGATTAAATTTAAGGATTCAGTATCAATTCTTATAACAAAAAAAGTATATCTATATATCTTGAAGTTGTATATAGTATGTCAAAAATATTAAAGAAGCTTTCAGAATCCCACTATCTTCAAGAGTTAGGGAAGGATTTTTAAAAAGATACATGGGGTGGGGGGGAATGGAAGCAGCAGAGCCAAGATGGTGGAGTAAAGGCAGGGACTCATCATCTAAGCTCTCCCCCAAACCCCTTCAAATACCTTTAAATAATGACTCTAAACAAATACTAGAGCAGCAGAACCCACAAAAAGAAAGAATGAAACAATTTTCCAGCCCAAGATACCTTAGAATGTTGGCAGGAAAAGTCTGCTGCACCAGGATGAGAGAGGAGTGCAGTCCAACTCTGGCCATGCCAGCACAGACTGGGTGGGCCCCAGCAAACCAGAAGCAGGGCTCAGGGCAACTGAATTAGTGACAGTTTTCAGACCTCTCAGCCCACAGACAGTAAGGGGATCAGACAATGGGTCAAAAGATTTACAGGGGTCCCTTTGCTGACACCAGGGGCACGATTCCGTTGCATTGCCTACCCTTGGCTCTGGGTCACAGTCCTGCGTCTTTGTCACAGGTTCAAGGAAAAGCACAAATACAGCAGAGGTTGGCCACAGGGAAGCAGGGACCCGGGTCACAGTTCCAGGGTTGAAAAGAGAGACTGTGGTTACTCACAAACCAGTACACAGTACAGGAGAGCAGTAAACACACCTCTCCCTAAATCATAACATCTTGGAAGAGTCAAAAACTTACAGGTGCCCAGAATTACCTCCAGAAACAGCTGCACAAAAAACCTGAAGATTGGGAAAGTGTCCCCTCTACTTGAGAAGCAGAGCACCACTTTTGCACAAAGTTAAACGTCAAGAAATAGGCTGGAAAATGAGCAAACAATAGAAAAAATCCTGACTATAGAAAGTTACCATCATAACAAGGAAGATCAAAACACACTTAAAAGAAGACAACAAAGTCAGAATTCCTGCATCCAAAGCCTCAAAGAAAAATATGAATTGGTCTCAGACAATGAAAGAACTCAAAAAGGATTTTAAAAATCAAGAGAGGTAGGGGAAAAATTGGGAAGAGAAATGAGAGTGATACAAGAAAATCATTAAAAAAGAGTCAACAGCTTGACAAAGGAGGCACAAAAAAATACTGAAGAAAATAACACCTTAAAAAACAGAATAGGTCAAGTGGTAAACGCGGTACAAAAATCCAATGAAGAGAAGAATGCCTTGAAAAGCAGAATTGGCCAAATACAAAAACATATAGAAAAATTCACTGATGAGAAGAATTCCTTAAAAAGAATTGGCTAAATGGAAAAGAAGGGACAAAAGCTCACTGAAGAAAATAATTCCCCAAAAGTTAGAAGTGGACAAGTGAAGGCTAACAATTTTATGAGACATCAAAACACAATCAAAGTCAAAAGAATGGGGGAAAAAATAGAAGAAAATGTGAAATATCTCATTAGAAAAACAAGTGACCTAGAAAAGAAATCCAGGAGAGAGATAATTTAAGAATTATTAGACTACCTGAAAGTCATGATAAAGTTTTTTTAAAATTAAAAAAAAAAAACCTTAGACATCACCTTTCAAGAAATTATCAAGGAAGAGTGCTCTGATATTCTAAATCTATGACCTCCTGAAAGAGATCCCAAAATGGAAACTGCCAGGAATATTATAGTCGAATTCCAGACCTCCCAGATCAACCAGAAAATACTGCAAGCAGCCAAAAAGAAACAATTTAAATATCATGGAGCCACAGTCAGGATAACACAAGATTTAGCAGCTTCTACATTAAAGGATCAAAGGTCTTGGAATATGATATTCCAGAGGGCAAAAGAGCTAGGATTACAACCAAGAATCACCTATACAATAAAAGTGAGTATAATCCTTCAAAGGAAAAAAATGGAAATGCAATAAACTAGAGGACTTTCAAGAATTCCTGATGAAAAGAGCAGAGCTGAATAGAAAATATGACTCTCAAATACAGGAGGCAAAAGAAGGATAAAAAGGTAAACAGAAAGGGATTCAATAAGATTAAACTGTTTACATATCCCTACACGGAAAACGCTATTTATAACTCCTAAAAGTTTTCTCATTATTAAGGCTGTTAGAAGGAGTATAAATAGAAAGCAGAGTTACGAGTTGAATGTGATGGTATGATTATCTAAAAATATAAAATTAGGGGATGAGAAAGAAGAATGCACTGAGAGAAGGGGAAAGGGAGAGGTAGAATGGGATAAATTACCTGACATAAAAGAGACCTGAAAGAGATTTTACAATGGAGGGGGAAATGGGGGAAGTGGTGAGAGGAGCACATGAACCTTACTCTTATCAGAACTGGCTCAAAGAGGGAATAACCTACACACTTAGCTGGGTGTAGAAATCTATCTTACCATAATGTAAAGTAGAAAGAGAAGGGGGCAAGGAGGAACTGATAGAAGAGAGGGCAGTTTGGAGAAGGTAAAATCAGAAGCAAAACATTTTTGAGAATGGACAGGGTAAAAGGAGAGAGCCAGGATAAACGAAGAAAAGAGGATGGAGAGAAATACAGTTAGTAGCCACAACTGTGAAAAAAATTTTACAGCAAGTTTCTCTGATAAAGACCTTGTTTCTCAAATATACAAAGAACTGAATTAAATTTATAAAAATTAAGAGACATTCCCCAATTAACAAATGGTCAAAGGATATGAACAGGCAGTTTTCAGACAAAGGAATCAAAGCTATCTATACTCGTGAAAAAAATGCTCAATCAAAATCACTACTGATGAGAGACATGTAAATTAAAACAACTCTGAGCTACTACCTCATACCTGTCAGATTGGCTAATATTAAAAAAAAGGAAAATGAGAAATATTGGAGGAGATGTGGGAAAATTATAACACTAATGTACTATTGGTGAAGTTGTATACTGATTCAGACACTCTGGAGAGCAATTTGGAACTATGCCCAAAGGGCTATAAAACCATGCATACTCTTTGACCAAGCAATACCACTACTAGGTCTGTATCCCAAAAAGATTTAAAAAAAAAAAGGGGGGGGGAAGGACCTATGTGTACAAAAATATTTATAGCAACTCTTTCAGTGGTGGCAAAGAATTGGAAATTGAGGGGATGCCCATCAATCGGGGAATGGATGAACAAGTTATATAACTGTGATGAAATATTATTGTACTTTAAGAAATGACAGGCAGGATGCTCTCAGAAAAACATGGTAAGGTTTACATGAACTGATGCAAAGTGAAATGAGTCAAACCAAAAGAACACTGTACACAGTAACAGCAATACTGTATGATGATCTACTATGAATAATTTAGCTATTCTCAGCAATACAATGATTCAAGACAATTCTGTACATCTTATGATGAAAAGTGCCATCCACCTCCAGGGAAAGAACTAGTAAAGCCTGAATGCAGATCAAAGATACTTTTTCTTTATTTTCTTTAGTCTTCTTGGGGGTTTTTCAGTCTGTGTTTTGTTTCACAGAACAACTTAGGTGGAAATGTGTCTTGCATGTCTATATATATATAACCTATTCAAACTGCTTGCCTTTTCAATGCGGGGGGGGGTTGATTTGGAACTCAAAATTTTGGGGGGAAAAGAACGTTAAAATGGTTCTTACATGTAATCGGGGAAAAAATAAGATATTAAATAAGATTTTTAAAAAGACAAATGAAAGACTATGCTACAGTTTTGTTCTATTTTGTTGCTTTAAGATAGGAAAGAAAAGTGAGGAAAAAGGAATACACAAGAGAAAAAAATTTAAAAATAGGGAATAACATAACTATTTTCAATAGTTGGAATGGAAAGGAAAATATATATAAACATATATGGAGAGAGGGAGCAAGATATCTCATGATTCTCATTCTAATGTCAGCAGGGCAAAAAGAAGATTGAACATACATACATACACCCATGCAGCCTGTGGACTTGTGCATGAACACACACACAATAGACAATCTGTTGTAGAAATACATTAGAGTCAATAAAACTATCAACAAGTTTTTATTATGCACCTACTATATGCAAGATACTGTGCTAGGTGCTAGAAAAACAAGTACAAAGAACGAAGATCTCTATTCACAAGAAGTTTACACTCCATTTGGACAGAAACTTGCTACAGCTACTAATAGTAGCTAGCATTTATGTAGTGCTTTAAGGTTTGCAAAGTGCCTTATGATATTACTTCATTTAATTCTCACAACAATCCTGTAAGACAGGCGCTTTTATTATCCTCATTTTACACATGAGGAAACTGACACAAAGAACGTAAGAGACCTGCCCAGGGCTACACTGCTATTAAGTATCTGAGAAAATGTTTTGAACTAAAGTCTTACCAACATCAAGTCCAGCATTCTGTCCAATGTTCTATTCAATTAGTATAAACATTTTGTGGGGGGGGGGTGTAGAACAGATAAATAAAAATAAAACAAATCTAAGATAGTTAAATACAAGGCACTTAGAGAGAGGAGGGCAACAGCAGTTGAGGAAAATCAGCAAAAGCTTCCTGTAGAAGGTGATACTTACTGTGTATCTCGAACGAAGTCAAGGCTTCTATGAAGCAGAATGAAGAGGAAGTGTAGAATGAACATGGGGGACAGTTGGTGTAAAGGAAGAGATAAAGAACATAAGAGTGGTTTCTGTAAGAAAGAGGGGAGAGGTCAATTTATATGGACCACAGATTGTGGAAAAGGGAATAATTTATAATAAGAATAAATAATTGGTTTGGGCAGGTTTTGAACTTTAAAGGCCAAAGAGAGGTGTTTATATGAATTCCAGAAGCAACAGAAAGTCACTGGGGTTTGGGTAAGAGAGTGGCATAGTCAAATCCATGTTTAATAACTTAATTCAAGTACAAAGAATGAAACAATCCCTACAATCAAGACACTCACTTTGACAGCTGGGAAGAGGATGGATTATATCTGAGAGTAGATTTAAGGCAGGTGAAAACTGA